CTACGATTGAGGAGATCAGTATGACCATCAGACAAATCAAGAGCGGCAAATGAGCAGGACCAGACAACATTCCAGCAGAGGCAATGAAATCAGATGTAGAAGCAACTGCAAAAATATTTCACATCCTCTTCAAGAAGATTTGGGATTAGGAACAAGTACCATCAGACTGGAAAGAAGTATATCTCATCAAAATATCAAAGAAAGGCGATCTCAGCAAGTGTGAGAACTACACAGGCATCACTCTTCTCTCAATATCAGGCAAAGTCTTCAACAGAGTATTGTTAAACAGAATGAAGGACTTCGTAGACGTCCAACTTCGAGATCAACAGGCTGGATTTCGTAAGGATTGATCGTGTGCTGACCAAATTGCTACATTACGGATCATTGTGGAACAATCAATTGAATGGAACTCACCACTCTACATCAACTTCATCGACTACGAGAAAGCATTCGATAGCGTGGATAGGAAAACACTGTGGAGGCCTCTTCGACACTACGGTGTGCCTGAGAAAATAGTTAACATCATACGGAATTCTTATGATGGATTCAACTGCAAAATCGTACACTAAAGACAGCTAACAGACTCTTTCGAGGTGAAGACCGGTGTCAGGCAAGGTTGCTTACTCTCACCCTTTCTCTTTCTCCTGGTCATCGACTGGATTATGAAGACGTCAACATCTGGAGGGAAGCACGGTATCAACTGGACAGTTAGGACGCAGCTGGACGATCTGGACTTCGCAGATGATCTGGCTCTTCTATCGCTTACTCAACAACAAATGCAAGAGAAGACGACCAGTGTAGCAGCAGCCTCTGCAGCAGTAGGTCTCAACGTACATAAAGGAAAAAGCAAAATTCTCCGATGCAACACAACATGCACCAACCAAATCACGCTTGATGGAGATGCCTTGGAGGACGTTAACACCTTCACATATCTTGGCAGCATAATCGACAACCATGGTGGATCGGACGCAGATGTGATGGCGCGGATCGGCAAAGCGAGAGCTTCATTTCTACAGTTGAAAAATATCTGGAACTCCAAACAACTTTCAAACAAAACCGAAATCAGGATTTCCAATATAAACGTCAAGACAGTTCTACTGTATGGAGCGGTAACTTGGAGAACTACGAAAGCCATCATCCAGAAGATATAAGTGTTTATTAACAGCTGTCTACGCAAAATACTTCGTATTCGTTGGCCAGACACCATCAGCAACAACCTACTGTGGGAGAGAACAAACCAGATTCCAGTGGAGAAGGAAATCAGGAAGAAGCGGTGGAAGTGGATAGGACACACACTACGAAAAGCACCTAACTGCGTCACGAGACAAGCCCTCACATGGAACCCTCAAGGCAAAAGGAAAAGAGGAAGGCGAAAGAACACATTACGCCGAGAAATAGAGAAAGACATGAGAGGAATGAACAAACATTGGACAGAACTGGAGAGGGAAGCCCAGGACAGAGTTGGTTGGAGAAAACTGTTGAGCGGCCTATGCTCCACTGGGGGTAACAGGCGTAAGTAAGTAAGTAAGCAGAACGTAGCGAAAGTGGAATCTCGCTTTTCTAAACTTATCAGGTGGTAGTTTTCTGGGCCCAGTTAACAAAGGCGCATATTCGGCTCCAACTCAATGAACAACTGTTAGCCTACCTTTAGAGGTTTAGGGTTTAGATCTAGTCAGGTTTGAAAATTACGCGAGCATATCCCGGAACTATGCGGCTGTTACTGGCGTGCTAGTATCAGATTTAAAAGAAAAATGTGGCCTTCTAGGCATTCCGTGTCACATGAAATCTGTTTAAACGTCAAATTCCGGTTTCTTAGTGTCTGTTAGAAATTAATATCGCTCTAAAATATCCATTTGCAGTATAGCCATATCTAAATTCGCTATATCGATAACTAAGTGAATTGTCCCAAGATCCAAGATCTAGCCAGAACTGTTTCTGCTCAAATGTCGCACTTCTAGTTTTCTCGACATCTTGAAGTGTAACCGGTGTTATTTTTCTACCTAGACCAGTTTTATTCTGAGAAATGGTACTCAGCACAGCATCTGTATCTACCAAAAGGTTCCTATCTCTAATACAGAATAAGCGACTGCTTTGGAATCTGTTTACTGTCGCCGTGACTTGCGAACAGATTGCTCGTTCTCAAATGATACCGATCGAAAGATCTGAACCCTCTGAAAATTTGTAACCTACACCATGTTGGTTGAGGTGATTTATTGTGGTTTCTATAGCCCAATTGCATTTTTTCCAGTCTCTGTCAGACTTTTAACACCATCGATGAGTTCTACCATAACTGGTGATACGATCGTGGGACGTCTATTCATTATTCCGCTTGCGGTTCGTGCTAAGTAAAGTAAGGGTGTATCCGGATCGTGAGCATCCAAAAAATGTTGGACGAAGGATGAGAGAGCATGTATCCTTCCGTGTTTCATGACTACTTCATCCACGGTGTTGTCGATAGCTAAGGCCAGGAGGTGTGTCAGGAATAGGGATGGTGATCTATCATTTGATATTTCTAGTTTGAAAAGTCTTTGGGTTCTTTGACCGTCAGATGAGGACAGTCAATTCATCATCTCACGTCCTAAATTGAATCAAGTTTCCGACTTGGGGGGCCTTAAAGTTTATGTCACAGACTTCTTTAGCAAATGAAGCGAGAGGGACTGAGCATAAATCTTGATGTTTGATTATCTCAGATTTAATACTGAACCAGAGCGGGTACATTATGATCAAAACAAACAGACCCTTCAACATCCAACAATTGACGACATAGAATTTAACACCTCCATGAGGTAGTGTATTAAATATCCATTTCAGACATAATGTTTGACTATTAATTGATGTATTCGGCTGGCGGGTAACTACCTGATCTAGTGTGTTGCACAACACTGATTCTAGAGTTTTTATGTCAATTGCATAGCAGACAAGCTGAGCTTAAGGACATTAAGAAAACTTTAGTGAAGTATGGCATATCGTCACTGAATAAAAATGCGTATTTCCGAATAACATATGTGCCAAGAGAAATTAATTAGTAGGCAGAAGAATAAAAGTATGTGTTGAGTTTAAAGCATAAAGTAGAAATAGTTAACAATGGTAGGACAATAAAATGTTCGCACCAAACAACAAACCGATGCGCGATAGATGAAGGAGGACACATTACTTTAGGGTAGATAGCGTTTTAGGTTAAGAACTCGAAGAAGAAGGGATTACTCAGTATCTTGATGCGTCAAGCCAGCCCCTGCAAGTTCAAGACTGCGGTCAGTTGGGCAGTATATTAGTAGGTTCAGGTGAAGAACAATGATAATCGGGAGTATTTGTGTCCTATTTACAAACCACTTATTGCCGGCAAAGTCCGATTCATACTTTAGTAGTGAGGCGTGTGTCAAAACTGAAAAATGGTTGATCATATTGACGAACCGTAGCTTGTTGATGATGAAGTATTCCGTCAATGTTTGCCTTGATATTCACGCATATTATAACAGCTAGTTATCTTACTACATGGACACGAGTTACCACATTTAAAAAGCGTATTGGACGTATGCAGCATGATGAAGCTCTGACAAAGCCGTGTTATGAGGAACCCATTGAGCCTTCACTTAAATGGTGACCAGACAGTTGAACATTAATCGCTCTCTTCGCGATGTGTAAGGTAACTAAAGTGCTGTTTATTTGCCCATAATCCTGTATTAGGTTTTTAAGTTATCATTTGGTTGAGTAACGTGTTAAGTAACCTGTTTCTGGGTACGTGACTTCATCAAAAGATAGGGTGATTTTTCGCGAGGTAGAGTTGACAAGTCATCGAATTATTTGAGTGTCTCAGGACAGAGAGAGAGAACACCTATGGAGACCATTTTGGCAATTTATTAGTGTCGAGTCTGAACAGTTTAACAAGTAATGTGGTGCCTCGTGCTAAGTCACTTTTTACCAGAGTCTATTTAGGGCTACACAATATCTTTCCAATCCCTTAAGACTTGAGTCTCGGAAACGGAAATGTTGGATGTATCTGTGGGTAGTTCTAAATGAATGTTCTCTAACATTGGCAGTAATCAAAAATGTAAGTATTCCTTGACTAACAAGTCACTAGGTTTTATGTCACTGAGTAATAGGAGAACTTCTGCTCCAAATATAAATACTGGTAGCTGGTTAATGTCTCAATGGTATCGCTGTCCAAGGTGTTGAAATTTGTGTTCCCCGGTTCTCATAATCGAAGTAAGTTGATATACTTTCCATCTTAGGTTGCACCAAGTCCAGTTAGTATTTGAACACATGGTTAAGTGAAGCGAAAGAAATGCACCAGTTTACTTTGTCATACTTTAATATTATAACACAATAGTTTTAGACAGATATGGTCAATATTTTGAAATCTCATTCCAAAATCAAGTCACAGCGTAGCAACTGACGTTTCCATATGTTACTGACGAGGAGGCATACGACCCAGATACTTCGAGAGCTTGGTGAAAAACAAGTCCTAAATATACTTTTTACACCACGTTAGCTTCAGTATATTTTGCTGATTTGTGAGGGCGTTCTAATAACTTGAATTTAGCAAATTATAAAATGAAAGACTTTATCACTCCCTTGGGTACAAATTCAAAAATAACTGACAAGTGACTGGTATCAGTGTTATCAAGTGGCTAGACTATTATCCATTGGATACCACTAAATACTTGTAATCTAGTGATTAATATTAGCTCATGGAAAATATATTGGATATTGGATTCTGTCAGGATTGATACCAACCAACAAAGTGATGTGAAATTTTGGTCTACAGTTGTTCAGAAGGTCGATACAATTTTTGTTTTATGTTAGGAACATATAAGTCCTAGGTTTAATTGTTTCTAAAGTCAGCCTTGAAAACTGCATTTGTTTTAACTCTTCATCCGGGGAGATGCAGTACTTTTGATTCTCCAACTTCAGTTAATTATGGTATTGGATTATAATGGAATCAACCGTACTACAATCATCCTGTTCCAAAATTATCAACTTATTTAGGATATATATTTAATATGGATCCTTACAGTCCATCACATCCAACCGACCAGGATATGGATTTAGTCTCTGATTCCCCTGCTACTCCGGAACAAGATGCTAATCAAAATCAATTACCTCCCGACCAGTCACTTAGCGATGTTGTACCATTGCTTTTCAATTCTAATGCTTTTGCTTGTTCAAAGGATGCTGACGTTCCTCAATCAAACAACAACATGGAAACACCACACTCTGAGCTGAATACCGATCATCATTTATCTGGGGGAAAAGGTTGCGCTCAGTCTTATTCAACTAGGTCAGCTGAAGAAAATGTTCATGAAGAGACGAAACACGATTCTCATATTCACATGAAATCATCCAATGTTCACAAACGGTCTGCCCAACGTCATCGCAGAAGTAGATCACGCTCACCTAAAAGAGCTAATAAGTCCGAGGATAAAATAGGTAGAAGGTCCCGATCTCACTCAAGGCACCGTGTCCGCAAGCACCGTTCACGATCACGTCCTAACGAACGGAGACGAAGCCGGTCTAGAACACCTCCAAGACGTTCCCGAGTGGTTGATCGCCTCCCAGGTCCACGTTCTCGTTCGAGGTCCCCAGCAAAATCGAGAAGATCTGTCAATGAAAAACGTGTTTCCCGCTTTTCTGATGAACCGAATTTTCCCTATAAAGGGAAAGAACGTGACTCTTCCATTGATGATCGACACAAAGATTCAGAATCGGTACGGTGGGATGTCTCAAAACCTGTGGACGAACATTCTGTTTCTGATACGCTTGTAGCAAATGAACAAACTAACGCCCAGAAAGAGGTAAGTGACGTAAAGCTTACCCCTAGCGTTGCTGCCGATACTTTCACTCAAGGTCAACCACGGTCCACTGTCCAACCTTTAACCAGATGGCAGAATCCTATTTGTAACAACTCAGCTTTTTTGCACAGGGTCCCACAAATGAATTATAACCCTATACGTTTTCCTCAAAATAACTATGGACTTATGGGTTTACCCAATTCAACGTTCCCATCGGGTATAGTACCATATCCCAGTGCACCAATGCCTCCGAATTTTATGCAACCACCTCCTCTAATGGTCCCTAGATTGACTACGACTATGCTTCCTGGGGCCAACACAGTATTTCCCGGTCAGTGCATGCAACCAGTTTCGAGCTTGCCTATAGTAATGTCAGGTCCTGGTTTCCAAACAAATGCTCCTCCTCCACCTCCTCCGCCCCCACCACCACCCCCTACGTTCGCGCAACAGATGCAGGCTCCAGCTTCCAACCTTTTAGAAACGTTAATGAGCAAAGCGGGTTTACCTTGTAGTACACTTAGTGATTTAAGTGTGAATAATAAACACAATGAAAAGCCTGATTCTGTCCGTGAAAGCTCTCCTATGAAGCAAATCAACAAACTGTTAAGTTCGGCTGCAAGTTCCCTCTTGAACCAACTTGCTGGTAGCCAGAAAAATAATGTGGACACTTCCTCTTCTGACCCACTTCCACCACCTCCTCCACCACCATTGCCATTTCAACACCATCATGAGCTGCCATCAACCACTTCTACTTTTTCACATTCGTTTGTACCTCCTCCACTCCCAGCGGTAGTCGATCCATTTTCTAACAATGAGATCAGTAATAAGGTGCTCCCCAATGGCGCGTGTGGACAAAATAAAAAGGAGAATAGGAAGCCTTTTGGGGACATGAGAATTGAAGAAGTATTAGCAAAGCGCAAAAGATACGACTTTTCTTCACGTCGTGAATGGCAAGAACGCATCGCTTTAGAAGTAAAATCAGTCTTGAAGCCTGCGTACTCTCTCCGCCGGATAAACAAAGAAGATTACAAAGAAATCATGAAGAAGGCTGTTACTAAGGTAAGAGGCATCATTAAAGTTATACTAGTTCATTGTAGATTTCGCGAAGTGGTACTTCATCAATCAATACCGAGAAGATAAGTACATTTGTAAAGCTGTATATTGAAAAATATCATCGAATGCATAAAATAAAAGCTCAGGCAACTGCGAAGGCAACTGTACAGTGAACGTGTTATTTTAATCTTACTGTAAATTGTAAATAATATAGATTATTTAATATAGACCAGAGATTTTTCTTACCGCATGCTAGACATAACCTCTTTATTTTCAAAAGGCGTCCAATTTATTAAGTCATAGTCGACGTACACCTTAGCATAAATATGTATGAGCCCAATTTGCCATACCACAGCACAGAGACGTAATTGTCAACTCAAATCCCGTAGTAGTATGGGTAGTAGAAGTATTAACGGTGGTGGAGAAGATTAGGGTTCAACGATATGATTCAAGAATTATGATCCAGTGAAATAAATTTACTGTTAATATGTAGCACATCTGAAAGAGTATAACTGCATTCTCAGATCACACTAAAGTAAAATATTCATATCTGTTAAATGTTCTTATTCATACTGCTTTTTAGGTGGTTTTATATTATAGTAGCACTTTGAGAAACAAGAATCGTAGCTTATGTATGCATTCATATATTCGCCGCTTCAGGTAGACGAAACCATGGTGAATATGAGCTGCGACTAGTACTGAAATCATTACACGCCCGACCTAATTGGTGTCAGCCTCTACACGCGGGTTCTAGATCTTATTTCAAAACTAAGTTTACATGTTCCCTAAATAGTCAGGAGACGGGTGTCCAAATGTGCTTAGTTAAATATCCTTATTTCTATGTTCTGTATGACCTCACATCACTTATGATTCCACAAAATCAATTCAGGTGTCCCTAAAATGTGTCCTGTCCACTGTAAACCTAAAGATAACAGAGCCAATACACAACAGAGAGTTTAAAAACGAAAGGCTATTCAGAAAAATTGGTGTTTAAGGATACATGACTAAGTGTTAGTCTATATTTAGTCAATAACTGTTACACTGGTTGTCCTTGACCTAGACCTGTGGAGAATAAAAATCGTGCTTAGGGCTAGCAAAATAGAGGAACAGTGGTAATCTTTGGAGGATGCTACTTGTATTCTAAATCGTGTTAAAATTCACGCTGTCAATATTTAGTTTTCAACATACTACTACTTATCCGGATACATCGATCTATTTGAGCTCAGTGGTTTTGTTTCGGGACTTCTATCAAACCATCTAGTTCATAGAACAAAGCATCACCGTAATCACTCAATCGCATTTGAAATTTTCATCAAATTTTCATGGTGTTTTCCATACTCATCAGTAGGAAGTGCTTCGAGTAGTCAGCTCATATTTTAGCGAAAGGGATGACGGTGGAAGTGAGGTCTGTCTGAATGATTAATATTTGATTTTACTGACCTAGGATCCTAAAGTTTAGTTTGTCTTGTTTTTTTATCCTTACTTCATATATTTCACTACTGAGGTAATCTATACTAAAGCCTTGTATCGTGTCAGATATTGGATTTTTTGTTAATGTTTCTGCATTATGAGAACGTTCAATTATGTAAATACTACCCACACTTCTTTGTGTCTCCTTTTTTAAAACCCAATCTCAATACAGCAGTTGATTTTTAAAAAATTCTTTGTTGTAGTAAAAAAAAGCGTGTTCGAGACGTCAATTGGCTTCTTTAAAAATATAAACATGCGCTTTCCATTGTTTGTCTCAGAATCTCCGGTTTTAAGTTTACATTATTAGCTCACTAGTTTGATGTTGCAATCATATTTTTAGATATGAGCACTGAGTAGTTAACCATTACCATTGATGTTATTTATGTCCGTTCAACTTTCGACGACCAAAAGATAAAATTAAGATAGTTTCTCGTTTTTTATGGTATGGTATTAGAACTGTAATGCATAATACCTAATGTATTAACTTGTGTGTTCTTCGTCCTGCGTGACAACATACGAGCTCTCCTTCCATAAATATCAAACAAAATAGAATACCGTTACTGTTATTGAGTTATTGACTGCAACCTTTCGTACTATATTCCGTACGTTTTTAGCTAATAAATTGGACCCACTTAAGACTTAGCTGGATGCAAAAAAGGGTTGTCCTTCAATATGGAGAATTTGCAGATTTTATCTAGTTTGCTTACTCATAAGAATCAGATTTTATAAAATATTTTAAGGTACTACCAGTGAACACTGCAAGGGTAGTTTTTTATCCACATTAACTGAAACGATCGCAATACGCAATGATTTAATATAGCTTTATTTAGTTTACACTTAGGTTAGAAAATTAATACTCATCCACTAGCTTAGATGCTGCCCTCAAATGCCTTGGTATAATCGAGGTTGGTGAGAGTCCGCCTCCCTCTCGAAATGCTTCCATATGGCCACGCATATGTAGCCATCGCTAGGGAAGTCCTACTCAGTGCCTTCTTGAAGCGGTGTTGCTTGCAAAGTGAATATCCGGTGCTTAAATCAGGTTAGGTAGGTCTTGAACATACACCTAAAGGAGTTGGGAGACCATGATTCCAAACCGATAGTGCATACAGTAGCTTGGCGGAATAAATGGATCATGAATCCATTCTTCTCTATAGGAACAAATCTCCTAATGTTACACCACTACCTTGTGGATTAAACCCGTAGGCCAGAGGCTCGGATAGTGACCCTCAAGAAAACTAACTGCTTCGGTTTGGGGACCCAGTTCATTCGTAAATTTAGTGGTTTGTGTAGTGCATAAATATTTTAGTGCCCCTTTGTCCTAATACTTATATGTTGAGATAAATAAGTAAATAAATCTTCGAATTTAAGTGAAATGAACTCATTAAGTTCTGCTTTTTGTCAGTCATCTCAGAGTCTTGGCATTAATATTTATTGATTCAAATTGTCTTTATTTGATATTACGACGAAAATGTTAATTAAGAAGGTCCGAAACACAGCAAGAAAACCAAAACCGATCGAAGTGGGGACATAAGGTTTATGACTCAAATGGGGAGAAAGTAATCAATGACGAGAAGGTACTCAAGCACAGCAAACTCATAATTTGTAAAGAAAGTAAAGGACGAAGGTATATGTACTACTTCGACTAACTTTGATCCATGTTACTAAGTATCTCCCACCATAGATTACAATTATCCTATGACCCCAACCTCGAATTCTGAACTTATGGCAAAGTTAAATTCCCGATCAAAGTTGTAACTGCAAGTCAATCGAATAGAGAATCTTAAGTGTTTTCATCTTTGTTCAGATACTGAATGATATATTACTATATATTTATTTCTTCAACATTCACTCACCCTTTATGACATCTCAATCTTTCTGTTATATAAGTGGCTTTTCGATTGATAATGCTTTGATTAAAATAAGCCGAAAATTGTTCATCTCTTCTTCATTCAATAATTTTCGTATAAAATAACTAGTTGTGTTTCATTTATTATTCTTTGGTAGGTAAACTACTTAAAAATGTGTAGCGAAATTAATATGATTAGGAGCTACTTGGTGGTAATTGTCAGCGTGTTGTTTAGGCTTTAGTTTTGATTGATAACTGTCAATAAAGTTTTCATCTTGATCACTTTATTTCATACCGTGTAGTTTGATTCACATTAAAAAAAGGCAAATTAATGTCATTGAACTTCAAATTAGTTTAAAAAGTGAACAACAGATAAAAATTCCAATTGTATTAAACCTTTTACGAATAGTTCTTAATGTGGTGTAATACTTGAGTATTTGGAGGTGGTATATGCAGCACCATCAGGATTAATTATCTTTAACCACAAAAGACAGAGGTGACAAATCCTTAATTGAACAAGAATCATTAGGAAGAACTTTTAAAATCGTCAGTAGTTTGAGTAACAATGTTTAATGTCAATCAAGATTCCTTTAGTTTCCTTTAAAATATTAAGTATTTCCTTAATTTATACAATAAATCGATCAAAAATATCAACTTACAACACTACCATCAAAATTTCAGGTTCTGAAAACTCACTTTAATTTCACCTCAAATATTTTATTTTTAATTGTGATATTAACTAACAAATAAAAACATACGGTTCTATGTTGACAACTACACTCTTTACACTAGAAGTAAAAATTCTGAATTGTATTTCATCAACTACATTGATCAACGAAGATGAAATTTTTTACGTTTGTTAAGGCAAATATGAGGTTTTTCAAAACAGTCAGTCAGCTGTTATAACATAGCAGATTATTAGACTTCAACTCAAAGACTATTGAAAATATGAATAGACGTAAGCGGATATAGACATAAAGATCAATTCTGTTAGTCAAATATTTCTTCATAACAAATAAACGAAAATGAATTCAACTTTCAGGTAATCTATTTATCATTAATTTCATAAAATCATAAATGAGAAACAATGGACTGATATGATCTTCAATGTGAAAATGGAAATATGTTAAGAATTGTTCAACCTCTCAACGGAGAGATATGTACGAATCTTCTCTCTTGATTTCGTTTTCTTTTGTTTTCAATAGAAGGCTATTTCTCATTCTGGAGCACGTGTTTAGACTCACATCATGTTCTAGTACAAGCATGTATTTGTCTGTCTCTTACTGGACATAAGAAAGGCACACCAAGGAAACCTTTTAGAGCTATATTTAACGACAAAAAGAAGCCAGGAGTGTATTTCGAGAGCAACTAGAAAAACAGTTAGACAATCATGTAAAGGAAGCCCACACCGAGGCAGCTTGAAATGATAATCCAAAAGTTGTGGAAATAACAGTGATATCTCCCAGTAAGTGAATTCAAAGGTTAGGGAGAAGCAGTGGGTTTCAGTACCATCTACTAAACTGATAGACGCTCGAAAGCTCTTCCCATCTAACTTTGAACACGATGTGGAGCGAAGTCAGCTTAAGCACAGGCTGATAAGAAGCCTACTCAACAATCGCGATCAGTGGTATCTAGCAAAAGCAAGAGAGGTGGAAAAGACAGCAGTGATAGGTAACAGTAGACAAGTATGCAGACTTATCAAGGAAACCGGTATTTGAAGTCAGTCTCTTAGTGACTATATCAGTAATAGATGGGACTACCATTCACTCTCCATCCAGTATTTTGGATCGATGGGTAGAACATCTTACGGATCAGTTCAAGTGGCCTTCAGCCACACTTCAGTTAACCATCATTTCC